AAAAATCCAACGCGTAGGCGATCGCGGATACGACTAATCGTGCGGCCAGCGGTACAACGGTTGTGCCTTACCAGCACGATGAAAAAACCGTGCCTGCGAACGGTCTCGTCGCTGTAAGTATACAGATATCTACATCACTCCGCAAGACACAGCTAACATGGGGCACTTACCTATTGTTCATTTGTGACTATAAAATAACGACGACGAAAATCTCACGCGAGCCGCATGTTGCGATCGCCGGCGGTCGTTTAGCCGTACTCGTCGTAAGCCTAGCGACGCCGTCGGCAAGCCGACATGGTATGGCATCGGCGGGGCGCCTGCGGCTGCTTTGCCGGCTTTCCCGCACAAGCGCCGCTGCTATGTTTGTGTTTGCGGACTCGTGCGCCAGCACTGCGAACGCTGGTTCGGCCGACATGCCGAACCAGCGTTCGCAGGGATCGAATACCAGCTGATAATTCGTATTCTCGGGCTGAAGGCATGTTGAAGATTAGATGGATCCATATTAAAAGATCGATGCGCATCGGTGCTACGAATAAGCCCATGTAAATTTTCGCGTTACGGTGTCAATATTTATTGTTTTCTTAAGCCGAGTAAAAGTCGCCCACTGGCACTACATGGGAGGTCAAAATACCGTGCTATATATACCCGAGAGTCTGTTTTCTGTAGTACAGCGTGGACAGTCAGTGTTTGCGATGTTTTACTTTGAAATAATAGTGCGTATGTATGTATGTGTGTGTGTGTGTGTGTGTTGCATGAATAACATACTATAATCTTCAGTGCTGATTAAATTGGAATAAACATGAAATATACTGCACAAACGCAGTGTGGCCATTTTTTTTGCCATTGGTCCAGACGGTTCAACTGTTAGTCCCACTGGAGCATTCTACTGGGGCCAACATTTAAACCAAGTGGAGTAAGTGCTTGGGGTAACAGTTGAGCCCTTGCAGTTACTCCCGCAGTTAGTCCAAAATTGGTTCAAAATCTGTGGCAGCGCATTTAGACCACTAAAGGACCAATGGCATACCCCACTTTAGTCTTTTTCGGCTTAGAGTGTACATGCTTTACTGCAAGTGTCGTCGAATGATGATAGTCTTCAGTCTAGAAGAAGTGAATGAAACTCTTATTTGATAATTTGTGTGAGAGGTTGGTGAAGAGATTATTGAGGTGCTGTGTAAAGTGCCTCGATGCGCACAGCTTATAGTCTGCAAACACAGGATTGAAACACCCACTGTTTCATTCATAGCATTGCATTGCAAGCTTAGCGTAATGGACGCTATGTTCCTTGACATTCTATACGTATGACGTTGATAGCATAATGAAATCCGCAAGAGAATAATGGCGATATGATGTTTTGCCTAAAAGATGCGCAAGAATTGCTTTTCATGAATACTACGCCCAAGTATGACCGCAGAAACTGCAGCCGTATATGTGGGCGCTGCGGATTCACTTAGATTTCGGAAATAAAGGCAAACAAAATAAAAAGCAGAGACAAGCCATATCAGGTGACAAACAGACAAGTCGGGAGACAGACAAACATACCAAAACTTTTTGAGTCAAGTATCCCAAGAAATACTGTCGTCTTCAGGGTCGAACTTATGTGTGAAGCATAAGCCGGAAGCATTATTTAAGATGGCGAGTTATTCAAGACACGTTTAAAAAAACATGAGCTTGTTCTTGTATCTCTTTTTTGCTATATTCTCAATGTGGCTTGTGCAGTTCAAATGAGATGTGAATGTGATAATGACATCAATATATTGGCAGTAGTTAAGTGAAATCAATGCAGTGCCTTCATGACCAACACTACTGCACATTAAAACAATCAACACTACTGCTCCTGATTAAGTGGACTGTAATTACGTCACTGATTTTGTGCACATTAGAAAACCCCAGGTGCTTGCTGGAAGTTTTCACTACACTCTCCTATAATCGTACGGTGCTTTTGAAACGCTAAACACTTCATAATAATAATAATAATAATAATAATAATAATAATAATAATAATAATAATAATAATAATAATAATAATAATAATAATAATAATAATAATAATAATATCATTACATTCTTCTTCTTATTATTTATATTTACTATTATTATTAATATTGTTTTCGTTGTTGTGTCTAATTTTGTCTGACGATGGTTTTTCCCTTTCTCTTTCTGCGAATACTGCAGCCAGCTGCATCAAATACGAAGGAGAGCGCAAGAAATCGACTTTCGCAAAATTGCACAATCATAGACAATGTTGGCACCGTCCGGCTGCCCCGGTCACGTTCACCAGTACGCACGGCTCACGATCACGCATAGCCTTTTCTCTCAAAATATGACGGCATACTAACCGTCTGCAGCTGTCCTGCTCGCTTTCTTTCCTCTAGCAGGACCACATAACCACTGCTTTTTCCAGGTGACGTCTCCTAAAGACTCCGCACAGGTGTCAGGTGCCCGCCCTTAGTTCTGCCAACTTGGCACAAGACAATTTATTGGCGTGATAAAAGGGGAAATGACTAGCAAACGCTTTCTCCCCGAGCGCAGACCTTACAAATGGGGAGTTCCCACAATTTACAAAAGTATTGATTCATCGTGTCCTGAAAACTGTAACCTTCCCAAACTTAATGCGGTTTATAGGGGCGAAGCTCCTTATAGCGGCATCTGTTCGTCCCTCGTAGTTGTTGTAGTATGTAACAAGTATAACATTTTGACTTCCAAGGTGGTGCTGGTGAAAGATTTCTTCTGTGTGTTATTGAACAATAAAAAGTAGTGCTCAATGTACATGCCAATAGATGCTAATAGATAATGAGAGACAAGAGCATTCGGCTTTTAGTTAATGCGCACGCTGCGATCCTCATTGGCAGCCATTGGCATGTACATTGAGCAGTATCTGACAAGAAAGAATTGCTACGTTATACTCGCTGGGTGTAACCTCCTTGATTGATATGTTGGGTTCAACGTCCCAAAACTACCATATGATTATGAGAGACGTCGTAGCAGAGTGCTCCGGGAATTTCAACCACCTGGGGTTCTTTAACGTGCACCCAAATCTGAGCACACGGGCCTACAACATTTCCGACTCCATCGGAAATGCAGCCGCTGCAGCCGGGATTCAATCCCGCGATCTGCGGGTCAGCAGCCCAGTACCTTAGCCATTAGACCACTGTGGCGGGGCAGGGTGTAACCTCCTTAGTTTTAGAAAGGTTTAGCGAACGTTGAGCCGCAGTACCATGAATATAATGAACTAGTAGATACCATGAACTCGAGGTGGTTAAAGGTGGGAAGTAGATACGAAGCGCAAGCGGTACGAAAGTGTGCGTGGGCCTCCTCTCGTTCAGTCCTTGGAATGTCCACCGAATGACGGTGCTTCTATATAGGGAATATATGATGAAAAGATGCAAGATGGTGGTACTTGGAGTGTTGAATATAGGGACGAACCGACCCCCAGACAGATGCATGGATGGACGCATGAACGGGCGCAGGGGCGGATGCATGGACGAACGCAGGGACGGACGCACGAACTGACGCACGCACGGACGGGCGGATGGATGCATGGACGGTCACACAGACGGACGCATGGGCGGACGGAAGCAAGAACGAATGAACGGACGAATGCTTCACCCCATTCTCCATCATTCACTCCGTGGATACGCTGCCATTTTTTTCTTGTATTTGCCGCCGACTCCGGCTTCCGTGTGTGTAAAGACTGAAGGCATTCCCGTGCAGGCCCGGATATGTAGGCTACGTGAACCATCAGGTGAAGCACGACATGTTGCTGGTATGCAAATAGAGATAGGGCTATACATTAGCCGTAAGTATGCCACACAAGGAAGCCGAGAGAAGACCAGTGTGAACTGCCGTATAAAACATGCAGTGGTGACAAGAAAAATTGTCGCCCAGGGTATACGCTAACTGCTACTTTGTATCTGCTGCCCAACCACGGTGGTCGAGTGGTTAAGGTACTCGTCTGCTGACCCGCACATCGCGGCATCAAATCCCGGCTGTGCCGGCTGTGTTTCCGATGGAGGCAAAAATGCTGTAGGGCCCGTATGCTCAGATTTGGGTGCACGTTGAAGAACACCAGGTGGCCGAAATTTCCGGAACCCCACATATCCAAAACCCTACATACCAATAAACAACGGTATTCGTTGTTGCACGAGAAGGCGAGGCTCGCGGCCTCGCTGAATAAAAGCTGTGATCTGCCTCTGGAACGCGTAGTTGTTTACCGCCCTAGTGTTAGGTCTCACGCTCTCAAAACGCTTATTTCAGCCAATGTTTTAAAACATCACTTCGCTGTTCACTTCAGCATAAAAAATACGTGGCTGATTCAAGTTTTAGCCCTATTAGTTTTGATATTCAGGTAAATAGTGATAAGTGCTCGAGTATTACGTGCTAAAAGAGCGATATGTTTACTTTACAGGCACGCCGTAGAGAGGGACTTGGAAAAAACGTGGTCACCTGGGGTACCTAAACATGGATGTAAATCTAGGCACACGGGTACTCCTTGTGCTTCGCTACGGTCTGAATTTGGCCACAATGGCAGGAAATGGAACCTGTACCGTCGAGCTTAGGAGTGAGACATTAATTGTGGTAGATGGCAACACTGAATTCTACGCTCACATGCCGGAGAATAAAAGTTTGTTCGTTACGTCGTCATAAAGACAAACTCCTAACATTAGATTTACTTACATTGAGTTCTAACAATACGGCTATCACGTTGAATAGATCAGCGCCTTTTCTAGAGGGAGTTTTTTTTTTTACTTCAGGGTTCGCTGTGATGCAGTAGCAGAAAACGTGACATAATCTAAACAACATTTTTTTACCCATGTGCCAACTTCTATTGTTGCATTCATCTCATTTGCAGTCTTACGCAATCAAAGCAACGTCTGATACAATTGTGGCATGTGAATAATGACTTTCTGAACCTGCAATCGGCCTGGATCCTCGATACTTATGAGCGTGGCTGTACTAAATTTTTATTTCGGCTGATATTGCTGGACAGAGTACGTAGCCAGCATTCGTGCAATGACGGTAGGGTGCTAGATGACATCAGTATCATTCACGTTCATATAAGATCATGAAGGAATAATTTCCTCAAAAACGCTGAGACAGTGTCACTCACACATTGTGAAAATTGCTGGATCAACCATTGTGATATCTTTCCATTGTTTTCGACTCACTGGGGTCAGTAGTTCACTTGCCAGATGGTGAATATATAGAAGCAGTGCAGGACAGCGCAACACATTCAGCTTGCGTAGTAGGGAGGTGCAGGTAAGAATACTTGCATGCCTAAATGCGTTCGTGCTTTGAGTGTAAGTAGTGCCAGAAGCTCACGTAGTTTGCCCTTTGTAACGTAGTGGCATTTGTGAAGATATTTATCTCTTACTCCAATTCAATATTATTGTGCAGTTTCTAAACACCCATTGATAATATGGTAAATACAGATAGTCAGGAATGGTATTCAATGAAAGCCTAATGCGAGCTCTGCCCAAGCTTATATACTGAGGCTATTTTGAAATTGTGGGATATTTAAACCCTGCAAAATAAATTCTATAACTTCATCATCGGCGAAGCGTTCAAAGTGAAGAAGGCAGAATATTTATTAAAATCTCTGAGCTGGCTTTCCTTAACAAAACCAGCATTTTCTTACCTCACATAAGTTTTATAGTCGGGTTCGGGTGACTAATTCCGGGGAGGCTCGGCTATTTTACTATATGCCATTCGTATTGCTGTTATCATGGCTAAATTATCCTTGCAGCAGTGGAACTGATGTATTCTCAATCTGCTGGGCTGAAGCTGAATGTCTACTAATTTACACGCTCACCGAATATTGTTTTATATTGTGAATAGCTTATGATGTGGAGCATTTTTCATCATTTGAAAATGCCTAAATGCCGCATGTACACTAAACGTGTGTTTATTTATTGTGTTTTTCCAGCGTTCATAAAGATGAAGGTTTTCATTTTCCTCGTTTTGCTGGCAGTAACTACATCTTTTGGTGAGCTGGCAATTTTATATATTTTGGAGTCATGGAGAACAAGTGTAATTCTTAAGCGGGCCTTGCAATTCATCTGGGATCGCTAATCGTGTGGGCGTCGCTAATCACACTATCCGTAGCAAGTGTTTATCAAGGGAGTAAGCGACAAAACAAGTTTTCATTTCACTTTCGCTTGTCGACCTTGTTTGTGTAGCTAATAACTTCAAAGAAACGGATGCAATAAGTTTTCATGCAAGTACAGTTGCTAAAGAAATCAATTTAATATATACCTGCAAGAATTTACAAAACTAAGTTGCAGTTAATTAAAACTTATAATAACGCATCCGCATATCAACCTGAGGCTCAATAAATGTCTTGTCGATCCTTCAAGGGGTCTAGTAAAGGTATATGTGTTAATTTTTAAAAAAAGAAAAGGTTGACAAGGAAACGCAAAATAAACATTCAGATTCTTTTGTTTGCACATATTTGTTAGTGCAGGTAAGAAAGAGAAATGGCTGGCGCAGAAACGCGGAACAAAAAGTGCAGAAACCTCAATATATGAAGAGGTACTCGATAAGACAAAAACAGTTTAATTAAAAAGTTTCATAACGTTATGTATATTTATTATAAATCTGCAGTTATGGCTAATAAGAACAGTTTTTGACGTGATGATTTTGATTCACATTGAATAAAAGCTCTACATTTTTTCCACTTCGAGTGCATACCCCGAAAAAAATAGTAGAATGCAAAAACTTTTGTAAGATTGTATACCAACCAGCAGTGAGGATATGCTTGGATCATATAACATTGGTAATCATTGTAAAAAGATATAAGAAAGGGTTATCACTACAGTTTACTGATCATTTTTGGGCTAAAGTTAATGTGTAATGAACTATTGAAGCAGATGCCCTTGCTAATTATGTATGTCTTTTTGATCCCCTCTTTGCGGACGCTTCCAGATGCTGCCATAATGTAAGTATCTTCTAAGTTTCATTTTTTTATTCTTTGTTTAAAACACACAGCAAAGCTGATCTTGCTTGCGCAGTAATGTGGAAGCTTGATGACGTACTTTGTCTCACCCCGTTTCACTAGAAAAAAGAAAGCTTCCGATCTCAAGTCTTCTGAGTTTCAAATAAATGACTGATCTGAATGTTGGGTGGATGTCTACTTCATAATTTGTAGCCGTGTGAGTAACCAGGACAACCGCTGCATATGTCTGGTTCTATCATATTCTTTATTATGAGTTGTGTTTCAATCCAATAAAGTGATATGTGTAATTGGTTAAAATAATTACCACTCTTTACTTTTAATCAGTCATCATTACTAAGATCGCGCTCACACATTGCCCGTCTTCACTATGGCTCCGAGATTTCTTTAGGTGCAGCTGCTTCGCTCTTAAATATCTTGCTTATACGGGTGTTTCTGATGTGTAGTATTGGCGCAACTTCATGAGATGGAAGCTTAGGCTAGTTGGTGATTTGGAATCAACATGTTTGCACAGTGCAAAACAATGAGTAGCTAGAGCTTAACTATGGCAAGAAACAGAGACATGTAAAGTGCACTTTCTTGTCATTGTTTCTTCCTTCCATAGTTACGCTGTAAATACTCGTTTTCTTGCTTCGTGCAAAAATGTTGCAGCATGCGCGTCATAATTTTAAAAAGGAACAAACAAATTACACAGTTGTGAGCTGTTGCTTGCGAAATATCACAAATATTGTTAAAACGCACCACACTTGTAGTCATTTTATCCTATTGAAATTAATAATAACTAACCAATAGAAGAGAATATTTTATAAATATCCTGCTTGTTATATAGGCACAATATATCAAACTGACAAAACAAACTTTAGCGAGTGGATTCAGACAGACTGACTACAAAATGTTCAACCCTTTTATTACAGTCAAGAGGCTGGAGGAATTGAAGGAGAGAAGTTTGCGAAAGGTATGTAATTAGTGAAGCTCGAATCGGTGATGAAATTGAAACGTGTGAGCCCGGAAGAGAATTTCGACTTGGTTTCGAAGGTGTTCTGGTGATGTTACAAGTAAATGGGGCATAGGACAGTCTATAGTACATTCACCTTATTGTTCTACAACAAAACACAGTTGAACAATATCGACGAACTAATGGGAATTGTCGCTTGTCTTAAACAATCTCAAATTTTATTACAGTGCGTCGGAAACTTCCTGGCAACACGCTTTTTCTTTATTTTAATATAAAAATAGCGAGCGCGAAAATTTATGATGCACAATGTGAAACTGATTTGTGATAATATTTAAGGCAATTGACTGGTTGCATTGTGAAGTGCGACATGAATGTTTAACACTTGTTTTTTAACGCGACAATCTTGGCCTGTAATGGCGCGTATCTGGAGAATTTTTTTAATATATAGCTTTTTCACGGCTCTCGCCCTCTATTTACATACACTTATAGACTGCATCAAAAGAAGCCGGAACTCATCTAATAATAGGCATCACAACGTACTACTCGAACAAATTATATGCAGTAGACTAGCATGATTGAAGGCGTCAACGCACAGTTTGGATAAACTGGAGGCATTGTGTGGCATCGTGCAGAAGGCTGACGCTGATACATGAGACATTATCGTTCAAGTTACATTAGTGAGAGACACTTAATAAGTCCTCGGTGTGCTGAGGCAGATTTCGTTTTGTAATATTTGGTATGTGAATGGAATAATGAATGAAAGGTAAAATCACTCATGAGGCTTGCAATGGTATTCGAAGAAACGTAGCCATTATCTATACAGTCATGCTTTTCCTTTCAAGCTTTCGCTAGCTTGTATTCCTAGTGCAGATTTTTTTCTCCTGCAAATATGAACTGTAGCTTATCCTAGAAGACGTCTAAAGTACACAGAACCTTTTCTGCTTCTTTGAAAGGCGATAGGCTTTCTTGGGGAGCTTCGACGAAAAAATTTTGGTCTTTATGTACATCTGTCTGTTTGTCCATCCTTAACGGTTCCGGGTATTCGAAGCCCAACCAGCAAATACCCCAAATGAACTACCCCATCCGCAGTGCCCACCAATGTGGCCCATGCTTTAGCGTTCATACGTGTGCAATTGTCAATTAAAATATCAATTATTACGCATATCTGAAGCACCATAACAACACGTATATAGTATGTTTGTGCGTCTTTTACTACAAAAGACATATATAGGTTTCTCGAAGGGACGTAGCGTTTATCACGCTGCGCTGACCATGCAATGCTTGCACGAAAAGGCGAGTGTTTTCAACGCTTTGGTAAAACGATACGGTGGTGGCACATACCCGTCACTTTGCGTTCTGCACCTTATCACCTCTGAGACGGGCGCGCACGCCCGTCTCAGAGCCACAAGCTTCGTTTTCAAAAAAAAAAAAAAGAAACTGCCAGATAGAACTCATGTCTCACGTGTGACATGACTTGATGCGCTCATTTACCCCCGCTGCACGCTCGAGGCACTCTAAAGCAGCGCCTCCAGAATACCATTCACTGATTTTCTTGCGCAGAACATCAAATCAATGTTTTGTTCACTCTCCATACGCAAGAATATCGTCTTTCGACGACATTTGCAGGTTAACATGAAGATACGGGGCCAATTTTTTTTCTCCTTGAGTTGATGAAAGTCTTTCATTCAAAAGAAAGATTTGTTGGAAAACGGATTTAGTACCTTGTGCTTTTCTGCTGCACAGAAAGTATGTATTTGTGAAGGTACTTATACGAAATGAAACATTTCTCGTATTCACATAGCACGAGTGCAAATTTATTTTTCTTGTTGCGTATATTTTTCTGCTTTCTCAAAGTGTGTATTGCAAAACACTTGAGCTCTCAGTATACCACTTTGTGGCAAAGGTATTCTGTGTAGAAAGTGAAAATTAATTGTAATATTAAGGAGGTGTAAATATCGTTTCCTGTGTTGCGCACCCCTATGTTTTTAAGGCACTTGTGGCTTGCATTCTTATGCTACTACTGTTCAGTTTCTCTGCCTTCAAATTTAATGTGTTGTAAACTTTATGTATCGGTAATGTTTCTTTTTTCTTGGCTTCACTACGTGATTCCAACAGCCTCACAGCTGGTTAGATTATTCGTTATTTAGAAAATTGACGGCTGGTCTCTACTTTCTTTTCCGCAAACTGTTTCATTTAGATGATCAATTCACTTTTGCGAAGTAAATGAATAAATGAATGACTATGTTGCGTTTCATGCAAACGAAAAAAAAAATACAGAATATGTTGAACTCTCGTGCAGCAGCAGTGTTTAGAGGAATTTCATTGAAGAAATGAAGAGCTTTATAGATTGAAAAGGATCGCAAAGTGTTGTGACGCAAAAACGAGAACACTTTCCTTGTAATAATTACAGATTTCAAGCCAGCTGTCTTGAAGAAAGCGGGAAAGAGCGTAGAAACACTCGGCAGGATTCTCCAGGGTGACCTTTCATTCAAATCGGCTGAAGAAAGAGTCAGCGTCTTGGATGCCCTTAAATATCTGACCATGACCAGTGAGGCAGAGAAAGGCTCCGAAGAATACTTTATTATGCTTATTGTGAAAGCAATCGCTATCGGACTAGGTACTGGATTACTGTCAGCTGGAGTAAAGCACGTCGTGCAAAAGAACCAGGCCAAGCGAGAAGGTTAATAAAGTTAATATGAAAACCTCATTATTTATACGCAACAGTCTCATGCAGAAGCCTCACCATCACGTCATTAGGGGGCGGGAGGTACATCTGTACCGTGCCCAGCGCTGCATGACTGCACTCTAAGTGTGCAGCACACAGCGAGAAATATAATGCTGTAAACCTGACGTACTTTGTGAGTAAACCTATGATGAATGCTTCTCCACAGGTGAGCTATTCAATTTTTCTGTTCAATCGCTGATTAAGTAGGTTATAGCTTTTTGAATCACTGTGAATCATTTTGCATGTATTTATATTTCCTGAAATAATTGGGGCATGGTGTTTGCAGACGACGGAAGCTGGCGCCGGCTCTTGTAAGAAATATATCGAAACATTATGAAATTACAGAAAATTCAAAAAAGTGTTCCTTCATACCGTGAAGGTGGAGATTCGTGAACAGAATGTTATTAAATGATTGCGCGGTAGCGTAGTAACTGTTTGTAAATACATGTGCAGCTTCAACAAAAATAGAGTGTTGTTCATGCAAAGTTGCAACATTCATTAGAGATTTCAGTGTGTTTTGCATGGCATGCCAACGAAAAAAAAACGCCAAGCCTGTGCGGAAAGCACGGCAGTTACAGCAAAAGCTACAATTTTCTATTTCTAGACCCTGTTGTAAACTCTCTTAAGCTACTAGTACATGCACGCTTACAAGGTGCCCACTACTCTATTAATTGATTTGATAGCTGATGCGGATGAAGAAATATGGCTGAGACCTTCGTAATGAAACGGAACCATTCAACGAGCCACTCGTAACATAGTGTGTTATGCGTGCTTACACAGTTCGCAATTTATGGTGTCTGGTTGCGATGTTACTCTTCTACCCCGCTATTTTGTGCGTGGTAACACAGTTGCCGACGCAATGATTGTTTAGTGTTTTTGTGTGCACTAGATTCACGCACTGGCATGGCTTTGCTGACACAGCTGAGCTGGCATGCATGAGAATGATGAAGGTTGGAACCGCAACACATACCAGATATTGCTTCCTAATTCGTTTTTTTTTATTTCGCGCGATAGCGGTTATGTGTATCAGCCGCGGTGGCGACGGCGAAAAACTATACGGCGCCATTGTTGGAACCTTGTAACAACCTATGAACAATGTAAAATGACGTTAGTTCGTAAATTTGGATGCTATTGAAGGGATAAAGAGGCGAGTCAGGCAGGACAAGTGATGAAACCTGTGGGCTTTTAGTATATAACCTTTACTAAAGTATACATTATGCGATGCTGCCGGAGATGTCCTCCAATACACCAACATATGAGTACATGCCAAAAATGCGCGCAAGCAAAGAACGAAAGGTGTCAGATGCATATCCAAAAGAAAGTTTGCTGCTAATCATGAGGTTACCTGCAACCATCCAGCAGAAAAAAAGCAAAAATAAAGCAAGGAATGAAGAAAATAACCAAAAAACAAGCGGAAAGGACTAGCGTTAATGTGAATACCTATGCATTAGGCTTCATCGGTCACTTTTGAGTTCAGAGTGCATCTAGATACTACAAATTCCACATATGCACCATAAGATAAGCGCCCGTTGAGTTGTTATATATGATTTCATTTGTTACAAATTGTGTTTCATTTGGATCTATTGTATCGTTATACCCTTGTATCGTGATATCACATTGAATATTTGTGTACATGTATGCCAACATAATCATGTATGTTAGAGCAAATGTCTTCACTGTAACGTAGTGATGTTAGTCGTGAAATATAGATGTGCAGAAGTGTATGTGCCCTGTTACTGGAATGGTATGAATGGCCTTTGTGTTCTGTACATGCTGTAAATAAACTTTTTCTAAACCAAGATAATACGAGCCCGCAATACACTCCTCTTTAGTTTGATGTACAGCTATCTTATTTCAAGCAGCTGCTACGTGAGTAAAACCATGTTCGTTGAAAAGCGCGAGAACCCTAGGTCAGGGTATTCGCACTCCCGCGTAAGCGCTTCTATTTAACCGACTCATAAAAAAATATTTGGCAGATCCTAACCACTTAGTAATGGATGTAATGTGCAGAGGCCTCCGAGATGTACGCACCGTTTTATTTGTAAAGAAGGCAAACCAATCCATTCATGGCATGACATACCCTTGGATACAGTGCGTTTGTCATGTGCGCATGTATGTAATCAAAATGTAGCGCAATTGATTGATTGATTGATACGTGGGGTAATTAAAAAAGAAATTATGTGCTTTTTTTCTTCAAGAACCACGCATTCAGGGTTCAGCGTGGCGTTGTTGCAAGCTTTTGACGTCGCGAGCTAGCTCGGTGGTGTGGTTTGCAGGATCCGTAAGCCACCGGCGCTTGGAGACGCGTTCGCTATTTAGCGCGGCTTGGAAGGCTGCCGGAAAATCGCCACGCCGTTGCTCCCGGACCTCGCTCTTCCGTGACTGTTTTGTTCCGGGACTTTCCAAAGGCGGCGCACGTTTTCACTGGCGGTGCTCTTCTAGAGTGTCCGTGGCATAGCCACGTGGAAAGTTTGAGAAGAAACATGCTGCGCGTGCTCCGCGCCATGGCTGCACAATGCAGCCAATAGCACGCGTGCATGAGTACGACGCTGATAATGACTTGACTAATAGGACACCCAATGAAGACCACTCGTGACACCACTTCCAGACTAATTTTTGTTTCTCGTAGAGATTTACAGGTTTTATTTATTTACAGGTTCATAGGACTTACAGACTCTGCAGCACGCGGCGCGAACCGACTCAACTACAATGCGCATGTTCTTTAGCTTGCTAAGAGTGAACTACAGACGCCAGTCTCGGCCCAGGCGGCGCTGCGAAAAACGCCTCCACCAGCGCCCCCATCGCCGCGCTGGCCATAACTGGGTAGTGCAAAAGATTTTGATTGATAGATTAATATGGGGTTTATCGTCCCAAATCCCCCATTTGGTCATGGGAAACAATGTAGTGGAGGGCTCCGGAAATTTTGACGACCTGGGGTTCTTTAACATGCACCCAAATCTAAGTACGCGGGCCTACATGATTTTCACCTTCATCGTAATAAATGTGTACATTCTGGCTTATACGATACAAAAATCACCTGTGATGTGTGTCCACAACGCATTTTCTTCGTAATATGGGAACTTTCATAGCTCCACCATGGTGGTGTGAGGAGCAGGAGGAGGAAAGTTTGATCGGAAGGGCAGAGAATTTAGCCAGTTCTTAGACAGACTGGCTACCCTGTGCTCAGGAAAAGGGTGAGGTGAATAAAAGATGATAAAAAGAAATGTTGCAAAGAGAGAGAGAGAAATTACAAGACAATAGCGACAGAGGAAAGGCCACATCAAAGAGTTTAACACACTAAAGTCTGTCTCGGAGGCCAGTTGTCCGCAAAAAGCGTAGCAGAGTTTTCAAAGCCTTCTGGGCTGAGGATGGGCTCGGCCAATGACCCAGGATCCTTTGTTCCGACAAAGGCCGATCGTCCAGTCTATCCTGAGTTGCAGTCAGTTCTGGTCTTGGCATGTTGAAATGGGTGCACTCATATAGTAGGCGTGCGATGCTTTCTTCGCAGCTGCAGTACGTGCATGTAGAAGAGCTGGCCATTCTAATGAGATAAGAGTATGCGTTTGTGAACGCCACTCCAAGCCACAGGTGGCATAGAAGAGTCTCCTCAGCTCGAAATATCCCTGAGGGAAGACGAAGCTTCAGATCGGGATTCATGTGATGCAGGCGCGCGTTTGTGAATTCTGTTGAGTTCCACTGTACCAGTGTGAGATCACGTGCAAGCGAACTAAGTCTTGCAGCTGCGTCGGTTCTTGAGAACGGGATGGCTGTGTATTGGGTACCATCGTGTGCAGATCTAGCGGCCTCATCTGCGCGGTCATTGCCATATATACCACAATGACCTGGTATCTACTGATACATTATGCTGTGCTTTTTCACAATAGCCTGGTGATGAAGAAGCCTTATTTCAGATACTAACTGTTCATTAGGTTCATTGCGAAATGGTGACATAAGACATTAAAGAGCTTCAATCGAGTCCGAGAAGATAGACCAAGTTCTCGAAGGTTCTTCAACTACAAACTCCAGAGCTGCGCGTATGGCAGCGAGTTCTGTAGCTGTCGATGACGTCAAATGCAATGACATGAATTTGATTGTGGTGTGTCTCGTGGGAATAACCACCACCCCTGCTGAACTCACTGAAGACACCGAGCCATGCGTGTAAATGTGAAGGCGTTCGTCGTGCTTCTCTCAGGAAGAGTAATGTGGCTTGTTTCAAAGCTAGTTGCGACGACGTTTTCTTATTTTGGATGCCAGGAATTGTAAAAAGGGCTTTGAATGGGTGTAGGCACCACAATGGTCACGGCAGCCGTGCTGCATGCGTGAAGTGCAATGGAAGCACTGCGCTATGCTGAGCTACAGTTGCGCTGAACGCTGAGTGGGGCCTAGAAGTTCGAAGTGAGGTGAGGTGATTTGACGGAAGCCTAGTGAAATGTCTTAGGTGCATTCTCAAAGCGTCTACGCGGATGTAAGCGTTGACTGGATAATCATGCTCAATGATGACTTTCGCTGCTGTAGACGCGCATCTCGGGAGACCAAGGCATATTCGCAGTGCTTCGGCTTGGATTGACTGGAGGACGCGCAAGTTTGTTCTTCAAATCCCGCAAAGCACGGGTAATCAGTAGCGCATATAACCGACTAACAGAACAGTGTGAGGTTTAAGCATTGCTCGTACCGATGCAACCCACGTTTTTCCAGCAAGAAACCTCAGCACGTGGGTGATTATGGTGAGTTTCGCTTTCATGTGGGCGATGTGAGGGCTCCAGGAGAGGTCGCGATCAACTGTGACTCCGAGAGATCTGTGGTTCTTCACGTAGTTGATTGTGTGCCCGTTTATTTTAATAAAATATGTACTCATCGCCTTATGCGTGAATGCTATAAGCGAGCACTTCTCTTATGGCAGCTCTAGTCCCCGTTCTTCCAGGTACTTTGTCGCTAGTGCAGGCGCTAAAGGGAAGTCTTTCAGGTTCAAAATGGCGTTAAGGTGA